AATCTAGTACAATCACTCCGCTTTCTGAGTTTCTTCAGGATCCGCGGACTGCTGCCAAGGAAAAGCGGTATGTAGAAACGGAGAGCTGGTAACAATCAATAAAGCAGCAGTTTCTGTAAACTGAAAAAGATGCAGAAACAGGAAAAACATCTGAACTAGGGGAGCATTCAGTGCCAGAAGAGAAAAAGTCAAGGAGTCTGGAATACAGCAATCCAGGGAGCCTGTGTGCTGCAGAGATGGAGAAGAAAAGCAGAGCCAGCTACTGCAAAGCCCAAAGGAAGCAGAGGGACCATGGGGGAGGCAGCATTCTGCAGAAAAGCAGATCCATCCCGCACAAAGAGGAAGCCACAGGGAAGTATAGTGAGTGGCTAGGGGTGAAGTTTGTACGTGCAGACCGCTATTTACATTTTCAGTCTAACTCCTGATTAGCATCATTCTCTTCTTTTACAGGCAGGAATATGAGGATCAGAAATATGGAGTGACTGCTAGAGACATAGACAGGGAAAGGACCGCGCATCTCTCGGTCCCAATCGCTAAGTACTAGCTATAGACAGGGCAAACTGAGAAAGCAGTGAATCTTTGTATCTTCAAGGCAAAGCAATTTTAAGGCTCAATCTCATCACCTGGAAGCAGGGTAGAAAGCCCTGGAAATATATCTCATGAAACTCCTTACGATGCTGTGAAACTAAATTGATCCAACCATCTTCAATTTTCAGTTACCAGAATGCCCCAGACCATATACCAGGAGAGGCATAAAAGAAGCACAGTAGAGGTAGAAGACATGTATAGTTATATGCAGCTGTACTTCTCTGCTTAAGCTTTTGGAATTAATTGCCAGCCACTCTTTAAGTCTGTGGGAGTTTGGCCAGGACTTTAAAAAGGCCAAGACATGTAACAGGTCTCGAGTCTTTCTGCCCACATGACAGTCTCTCGGCAAGGCCTTCAGCGAGCTCCAGGGACTCGTCTCGAACAAAACCAAAACCAAGTAGCAAATAGCAGGGGTCTGACAATGAGACCTAAACTTTTCCTTCCACAACCAAGTCCTCTTTGGCACTGGAATAAAAGGAGAGGAAAGAAGTCCTTTTCTGTTTGTGCACCCTTTCATTCTTCTGCAAGGAATTGAAAAAGATATAACTCTAAGAGCTGTATTGTGTGAGAAAATTACAGCAAGAGAAGTTGGAGTGCATCATTAAGTTACGGCAAGAGGGTTGTGAGCAGGAAACCGAAGGGTGAGCCTGTAAATTCACAACCCTTATATCACATAAATGAGCCACTTGTGTTTTCTCTGTTACATTTTGTCTCATTTGAATGCAGTTCCTTCCCCTTTTGGACCAGTTCAGACTTTCTGCCTAGCTTTATTCAAATAGCTGTGTCATAAGTCCTGAGCTTATCGTAGCTTTGCCTTGCTACCTCACCTGGTATCACAGGGTCACACAAAAAGGACAAAGTGCGTCATCACAGGACCGTGTGAGATATCAGCATGTTTCTGGCTTTCCCGCTGTCGCTTGCAAGCGTGACATTAGCAGCCAGCTGACATTAGGAGAGCCAAACAGATGATCATTTCTTTTCTGCTCCCCACAAAAGGCCTGATGCAAAAGTCACTGGAATTGGTGGAAATATAAGGGGCTTTGGCTCAGGACCAAACAGACCAGCCAGGAATAATGCTGAAAATGTATCTGGAGCTGAGATTAGTACAAAGGGACTAATCCTAGTCACCTTCCTTTAGCAGGAGGCTCAGAGTGATTTGAATTGGCTAGCTTCTGTTGTGAATTAAGCTCAAAGCCCCAAAGGCAACTCGGTTCTAGTCATCTAGCTTTGCAGCCTCCTCCAAACTTGACCCAGAGGGAAAAGTGACTAATCCTATTCGGTTGCTACACTGAGCTAGTGCCATCGATTAAAAAAGCTTGGGGCACAGTGAAAATGAACAATCTGGGTCAGTTTTCCTCTGCAAGTCCTTTGCACAACTTGGCCAGGGGAAAAAGAGAGAGGGAGAGAGGAGGGGGGAAAAGTAAGGAGACAGAGAGAGGAAGCACCGGTAAGAAAGCAAGCTCACCTGATAAAGTGTACACACAGAAAAGAAATAGAAGCAGATCAATGAAGTTTTGTCAAAATTCCCAAGACGGGAAGAGATTGTATTAGAGGAGCCAGTTCTCCTGTCTGCTGGAAAAAAGATCACGTTCTGCACTCTTTTCCAGTTCTTTGGTGTCCGTGCAGGGCTGAGAGAGCAATCATGGGTGGGAGAAAGGCAGGCTGCAAAAATGTTTCTGGGCATTGAAGTCGGCTTCTTGGCTCCCTCTCTCTCCAGGGCTATGGGTATGGCATGGCTAATGCCATTGCCTGATCCTAGCCATGACCGAGGAGGTAAGTCATAAAATGGTAGTTGCCACTGTAGCAGCCGCTCAAGCGATGACATTAGTAGGTGCTTTCAGCAAATGCATTTCTGGGTAGGCTTCAAAGTCAATAACCGCCACTGCTGGTTATGGTATTATTACTTTGAACAGGGTTACCAAGGATTGTGTGCAGCAGAAAAGGTTAGTCTGCAGATAACCCCCTACCAAGGTTATTAACATCATAAAGGAAAAGTGCGTGTGTGATTCTGTAACAATCTTTATGTTTTCCCTGCCCCCTATTACAGAAGTGGAGGGCTTTCATTCTTAATACCGGTTGTCTCATTTGACTTTGGTGCAGGTTTCCTGTGATGGCAGGAAAGGGCTGGAGGTTTGCTTGTGGTGAAAGTGAAGATTTTCTGGTTTTAAAAAGTTGTTCCATAAGCAGTGAAATTTGCGAAGCCTGGTCACCTTGCTTTGTGTCCTCTCATCTCCTGTATTTGTCGCCCGGCACGTAGCACCGTACTGCCAGCCCCATCCTCCACAGCCTCCCCCCCGCCCCGGATTAGTTTGGGGAATGCTGACAGAGCAGCTGGGGTGATGTTAAGTATGCAGGAAGTGAATTCTGGCCCCCTTTCATCAATGAGGGGCACTAAGCGATCGGATCACCCGCCTTTATCTAAATGCCAGTTTTCATGACATTTATCATGAGCCTTCGAGGCCGTTGTCAATGGTGGACATGCCAAAGCTCCACAGTTACTGGAGGGAAGGATGAACATGACATCTCACGTGTCATGCTCATAGGTCAAACTAGACAGGTTGGCTATGCTTGCAAGCTGCTTTTGGAGGACAACTCACCAAGGCCTAATATGTAGTACCACAGGTAATAAAGACTGAAAAGGAGGGTTAGCAAAAAAAAAAAAAAAAAAAACAACACCAAACCACCAAACCCAAAAACACCCGCCCAAAGCCCGAAGAGCAGGAAGCGTGACGCTGGAGTGGAACTCCTTCTTTTGCCAGGGTGGCTCGCGTGGTGTTGCTGGCATACCTATCTAACACACCACACTGCTCAACCACACGGAGACTGGGCAGCAAGTCTGTGGGGACCATAGGTAGGTTGGGGATTAATCCAGGTGACGTGAGATGCTGCTGAGATGTGTGCAGAAAATTGGGGGGCCGGGGGGGAGGATGAGGAGGGAGAAGCTGCAGAGGGTCTAAGGAAACAGAGGGAAGGCTGGCAAAGGGAAATGCTGCCCCTGCGTGGGTGTCCCCTCCAGGGGTCCCTCTGGCTCAAGAATTACAGGATATAAATGGTGAAATGTGCAGTGACAAGATCCTCATGGTGAGTCGCCAAAGGTGAAGCCGCTGTCCCACAGAGGCTGGGCTCAGCATCCCCAGGCAGCCCTGCTCCCCCCTGGCCCAAACACCCCTTTCCTTCAGGTCCCGAGTGTCCCCCCGAAGAAGCCACAGGCATC